TTCCTTTCCTTTCCTTTCCTTTCCTTTCCTTTCCTTTCCTTTCCTTTTTTCCTTTCCCTTTTTATTCTTCCTGCTCTTTTTTTCTTTATACCCTTTTGCTTTTGCTTCTGCATTTGCTTCCCTTCTTCTTTGTGTTTTTCACTCTTTTTCTCTCTTCTTTCTTCCTTTTCCTCTTCTCTCTTTTTCCAAAAGCAGTGACTATTGGATTTATCCTCTGTGCTGAATCTGAGGGGTGAATGCCTTCAAGGAGGACAAAGCCCATCACGAATCCTACTGCACAGCACTGGAGCCAGGAAAGAGAGAAAGTCCTTTACAAGGATGAGTTGCTACAACCCTACATCAGCCAAAGCTGCTCCCCAAAATTGTGAATGCGCTCCAGTAAATCCAAACCCACTTCGGTCTGATTTACCCCAAATGTTTAGAGGAGAAAGGGAACAGAGTAAGGCCAGAAGTGAAAAAAAAATCAGTAATGTGAAAAACAAAAAACAAAGAACAACCGAAACCTGGTAACAAAGATCTTTTGAGGGGAGCAGATGGAGTTTGAACCTCGGAGCTGAATCCAGGCGAGAGCTCGATGAGGTCTATGGGAGGTTTACCTACGTTGGGAACTCATAACGGGGTCTTTCATGTGCGCTTCTGCTCGCATGTGCGTGCGCCTGTGTGTCTGTATATACACAGACACATGGAGGTCATCCTTTAAAAAGCCCCTGGGTTGTTTCAGATAACAACGTGACGTTACCTCACTCTTCCACTGGGAACACTTCAAATGGGGAGGGAAGGACATTTATTTAACTAAGGAAAAGCCGCAGCAGCCACGATGGGTGACCACTGTGCATGTGGGCAATGTGCAGGGGTGAGAACAGCAACGGGATTTGTTCCTCTCCGCCTTGAGAAAGGCCTTTAAAGGAAGAGGGAGTTTAAAAAAGACCTGAATCCATTCAAACAAAATGAAAGGTATCGCAAGCACAAGCTTGGAAAGACTGGAGGTGCATTGCTAATAGCTGGATCTAATTAATACATGCCTGGGAGGAGGCAACCCTGAGGAAATGGGGTAAATAGTCTTCAGCTGGGGCTATCTATAAATCAGAGCCAGCAACGTGAGCAGCAATACTGAGCAACTTCCTCTGGAGATGGTCTGTGTTTCCAGGTTGTTGGGTAGCTACCATCCTTTGCTTTGTCTTCTATCACATTTTGTTTTGGTTGTTGTTGTTTTCACAGATGAAAAGTGTCTATTTGCCATTATTGTTGACTGAAATGGTGGTGCACGTGTATATTCACCATCAGAAGGAAGGGAAAAGTCACCTCCAGCCCCATACAAGGAGGGCAGGCAAATGCCCATGCCTCCAAGGACACCATCTTTCAGATACATCCGTTGGTGTTAGACCAGTGCCAAGGTAAGAGGGAAACACAGGGCCAGGCAATTGCAACAGTGTGTGAGAGGGAGAAAAATAAATACCTGGGTAATCTCTTTTCCACTTTCTTATCAGGGTGTCCCTTTGATTTTTGACCGTCTTCTTGCCCATTCAAGGCAGAGCAACTGAAATTCTGCATTTTGCCTTGAGAGAAACACCAGGGGAGCATTGGAAATAAGCTGATTTTGCTATAAAATAATCTTTTATCTGTGCTTGACTGAAATATTTATTCAGGAAGGGTACACAGGCAGCAGGAGATCAGTGCTCCCATTGCTTGGCTCAGAGGCTCCATCATGCTCTTTATTTTATTTATTTTCTCTCTTCTCTTTCTCTTTCTCTTTCACAATTCTTTCACAATTCTTTCCCATTGATATTTATTCTTTCTGGGGAAGCATGTCTTGAGTCGATCTCACCACAACACAATTCAATGGCGCCTTGTTGGTTCAAGGTTTTCAGCCTTGCACTCCATGTCCCATAAGGACCTGCCTCCATAAGGAACTCCCCATCCTCTTAGATACAAGCAAAATCTCCTGCCTTTGGTCCCAGCTTTTGGTGGTTGCAGTTGTACAGACTTTCCAAAACTTGCAATGGAATGTATTGGAGACAATCACAACATTAAGTGTGGGGCAATATTACTTTCTGCTCCTTCTTTTCCCCATTCCAGTCCTGGCAGGCGTTGATGCCCCTCCGAGCCTCTATCCAAACACAGCACCAAAACACATCAGTAATCATAGAATCGTTTGAGTTCTAAAGGGCTTTAAAAGACACCTAGCCCAACTCGCTGCAGCAAACAGAGAGCAGCCCTTTTGTCAGCACGGAGGTGTCAAAAGCCAAAGAAAATCCATCATCTCATTAACAAGAGGGAGCGTTCACCTGGTGCTCGGTAGGCAACAGAGAGGAGATGGGGAGGGGACAAAATCTGGGGAGCAAGAATAAAGGATGAAAGGGAGAAAATCCTCATTTCTCAGGTTGAAAAAGGGAGAGAAAATCCTCCTGCTTCCCATGAACAGCTGAAATTTGAAGGCTGTGCTTCAGTGTTATTAAAATACTGCCCGCTCTCTAACAAAACAGGGCGTCTGTCAGTGAAGGAACTAAGGAGGATGTTATTAAAATGTTCGCTGTCTCTTTCTATAAATTTTTCAGCCTGCATAGTGATATAAGACTTTTAGAGCCCTCTGAGCACCTGTAATAACATTAACCTTTTCATCAAAATGTCCTTTGAGCGAACGAAACGATGTTTATTTGAATTTTGCAACAGGGTAATGAGAAAGCGACTTCTCTATTTTCCTGCTCCCGTTATTTGCACATGAAAAAACCTCTGCCACGAGAGAGCCAGGATTTAGGCTTCCCTCTCCCTGCTTTGGATATTTGAGGGATGTCAGGATGCAGTTTTCCTCTCAGGAGGAGGGATGAGCAGAACAGGCTCTGCAAGGGGCTGCTGCAGGGATGTGCGATGGATGCAGCAACGGGGATGGGCTGGGATGCACTCCAACAAGGTGCTGCTAAAAACATCCAGATAAGGGTGTTTTTGTTTTCCTTTTGCTCCAGTTTAACCCTTTGCGGGCAGTTGAGTGCGCCTCCCTCCTCCAGACTGTAGGATAACATTGCAAGCTGATCTCAGCTGTTGCTGTAGTGGCTCTGATGGAGCAAATGTTTGCTTACAGAAAGAGAATGACCCCTTGGGAGACCCCCCAGGGCTCACTGCGTTGCAAGGGAAGCACAACAGCAATAGGCTTTTACTCCCTCAATTAACCTATTTCTTTTCCTCACTACAGAGAACACCACACTGTGTTGATAACACACGCCTTGAGAACCGCCGAGAAGGAGTGAAAAGAGGGAGAAAAAAAAGATCTGCTTTTGATGGACTTAATCTAAGCCCTGCTGAAAGATGTGATCGAATCCCAGTGCTGAGCATGCCTGCATCCGTCACCATCTTCTCACGTTTCAAACCTTTGGTTTTGGGATGGGCTCTGCCGAGCTGTCTGCCTTCAGCACACCGCCCCAAGCTGCACTAAGACCTCATTGTGCTCGGGGCTGTAGAAATCCAGGATAAAAACAACAGCCCTTGCCCCGAAGGTGATTTTTGCAGAGGCTGAGCAACGCTTGCAGCTCCATCAGCTCTCCACCAAGAGCCTGTGGATGGATGAGGAGAAGTGGGAGGAAGCGCTCCGTTGATGTTAGCATGATGGGAACAACAACAATCTGGGCTGCTGTCACGTTTTGTATTATCTATAAGGCACCACAGTGGTGGAGAGCTTCAAGGAGGGGGCTGGAGAGATTTTGCAGATGTTTGAGGGGACCCTTTGTAGAGGGAGGAGGAGCCCGGTGGGAATGGGGAGGTTCCTGTAAGGGAGCAAGGCAGGGATGGAGGAGGGCTTGTGGTGGATCTGGGGGTCACCCCAAGGACAGAGGAGGGTGGGCTCTGATATTCCACCAAGAGAGGAAGAGCTGGAAATGAGAGGATGAGCCCAGCACAGGGAATAGAACGCTGCTACAAGTGAGGGGAAGCAGTAGCCTTGGCATAGCTCATCTGGAAGTGTCTTAGTGAACACCATGCACATTGTGTTGGAACTTAGAAATATTGCTTTTGTCAGAGGTGGCCTGGAGAGCTGAGGGTCTCATTGCTGAGATGTTGAGCTCACTGCTCCCAGAAATGGGTGTGGGGGAACTGTGGTGAAATGAAGGGGCCTCACCATGCTCCTACAGGACCGACTTTTACACAAACCTGTGAGTGTGCAAGCAGAAACATGGATTGGTTTTCATGATTCTGCATGTAGATCATTATAGTTATCTCCCACCTTAACTTGGAGATTGCTATGCATGTAGACAGAGAAGAAACACTGCCATCTGCTAACTTTGCCTGGTCCTTCCCTGGACGTATTACAGTTTGTCTGAGTTTTCTTGAGATATAACCACTTTCATCTAAATTTCTTGCTTTACCCACAAAGCACACAACTGGGATTCGCCAGGAATGGAAGACCTGAAAGCTGCAGATGAACTGCAGTCAAACCAAAGGCATTCACAGCTCCTGGCTGAACAAAAGGTGGTTTGAGCTGTGAGAGTTCGGATGTTTTGAAAGGCGAAATATGGTTTAAGAGAAGAAAATTACAGATGTTTTATTCCTCTTGGTTTTGTTGTTTTTGTTGTTGTCGTCATCGTTGTTGTTACTACTTATTGCTGTTATTTTATTTGCTTTAGAAGGTCCCCAAAATTTTTGGATAAGCACTGGGATTTGCAGATGAATGTGAATTCATGGGAGTCCATCGGGGCATACCTTGCTCTCTCAAGCAGCGAGCATGTCCCCAAATCCTTCCCAGGAAACAGCAATTGCAACTGAGCCTTCCAGCAAAATTTCACAGGGCTTTCTTCCCCAGCAGGATAAAATTAGCCAAGCTCTCTTGAGATGACAGCTAAGAACTCCAGCTTCCCTCAGATGACCTCAATGGAGTCATTTGTTGCTTAAATGACAGACAAACGCAGTAATTAGGTCTATTTAGTAAAGGGAAGGTGAAAGGTCAAACTACTGGGCAAACTGTCTCCACCGCTTGACTGGGTGACCAAGGTTTGCAGGAGGTGATGTTTGTACAACAACCTGACACTGGCAGCAGCCCGCCAGCAGGTCCCTGCTTGGCGGCAGGGCTCTGCGTGCCTGAAATCTGCCTTCCCACTAATGAAAGCCTGAACCCCCTCACTTGTGTCAGAAGGGATTAGACCTGGAGGAAGGAAGAGCTGATGAAAAGATAGGTTATTGCCATACGGGGTGTGCAGCTTGAGAGAAGGGGATCCGAGAGGGGTTGGGAGGCACGGGTTGAGTTAAGTGGGAAATTATGAATCTTTTTCTTTTCCTCTTCCTCTCTGGCAATGCTCCCTTCTGTTCTCAGTGCTTATTTGCTTTCTGAACGTAGCTGTGCTTCGTGCGAGCTACTCAATGGCAGGCAGAAGCCACACCTGGCTTTCTCCCTCCTGCTTTGGCTTGGAAACTGTGGCATGGGATTTGTGTACTGAGAGCTAAACATCCCATGCACAGGAAAACATTGGTTTTAGCTCATCCCAAATCTCCAGAAGAACACTGAACCAAATATTTAATGTAAGTGGCTATTTTGGCAGAACATTGCAGCTGTGCTTATTCCTGCTGGCTGCCTATCCTTGGGGCTCCAACAAACCCAGCCCCCTTTTATCCGGGGGTAATTTGCAAGATTTCCCTCTGCTGCTTCATAATCTTGGGTTAACATTATAGGATTGTCAAGCAACAGAGACATAAACCAAGATCTCCTTTTTGCATGGCAAGTGGTGATAGATGACCTCCAATTTTGGTTTGAATTAAACCACAGGGGAGTGCCCTTAGGAAGGCTCTGGGCTGCTTCCCTGCTCTCCAAAATGCTCTGGTTTTGGGTGTTTTTCTGAGTGTATTTGGAATGTCTATGCAATGATCTCTGCACCTGGGCTGTGTGGGGATGGTGCTTAGAAACCCTAAAGGTTATCTGGGAACCCTTTCTATGGTCCAAACCTGTGATGGTTGCTGCTCCAAAGCCCATTGGATGACTGGGGCCCTTTACTTCTTGGCTCCACTACTGATATCCCTAATATATTAGGAATAAAATATATATAATAATGTAATATATTGCATTGTTTAATATTTCTTCTCTTCTCTTCTCTTCTCTTCTCTTCTCTTCTCTTCTCTTCTCTTCTCTTCTCTTCTCTTCTCTTCTCTTCTCTTCTCTTCTCTTCTCTTCTCTTCTCTTCTCTTCTCTTCTCTCTCATTCCATTCCATCACATTTTATTCTATCATTTTCTATCATACTGTATCATATCAGGGATAGCACTATGGCCCTTCCACCTGAGTTCCTGCCTGTCTCTTCTAACCACAACCGTGAAATCCCCTCCCTGTCGAGGTCTCTTAACCCCTGTCTGTGGGGCCCCATAGGGAGGTGCTGCTGATGTCGATGAGAGAGAAGGTCACAAGGAGCCGACGTGAGAGTGAAAAGAAAATTAGAAAACAAATAGAGAGGAGGTGGGAGTGCAGCCTGCACCCATCCCTGGCGCAGCCAGCTTTCCTGCATGCCCTTGAAGTGCAAAGACCCCCTCTGCAGAAGTGGGCTTATCTTCAAAAAGAGCCCTTGCGATGATACAAGAAAGAGCAGACTTCTCACACCTTGTCTTCGCTTCCCGAGATGCTATCTGCCCAGAAGTGCCTGTGATCTCAGTCAGACCTCTCTACCTTGCCACTTGCCTTTTAAGTCTGTTTTGCTAAGGCAGAGGCCTTCCCACTTCATCCTTTTCTCCCTCAGCAATGGCGAGTGAGAAGACAGGCGGCGTTTCTGATGCACCGGAGGAGCAGTAAATGTCATTCCAGAGCCTTTCTTTTGTATATTTTCTCATGGACAGATTAGTTTGTTTAAAGGGCATCTCCTATTTAACACCTCATTGAGCAAAAAACACGTACAGACACGATTTTTTAAAGTGGCTGCTTATAGTGAGCTTTAAGTCCATGCGAGGTGCTTTAATAACTGGTGTCATCACCACAAGTACTGATCACAGAGGAGCTGGGCTCTTGATGACTCATGAAGCTTCTGCGATCTATAACAATATGACCCATATTCTTCCACTGTTTTTCTGTTCAAAACCATACATGTCATGACATTATGGATGAATATTCGGAGTGTGAGTAAATAATCCAAAATTTGAAATTCGGTTTGCAATGCTGGTTGATCTTACAGAGTTTTTCTCTGTAGGCTCTGCTCAGAGTCCCATGGCTCCTACACTGGCATCAACAGGAGGGATGTCCATAAGGCTAAGAGCAAGGAGCAGCCTTTGCTTGCATGGATGGAGTCTTTCCCACGGTGTGATAGTAACTCACTGCTTTTGCACTGCACCTCTGGTTAGCCTCTGCAGACAGCAGTGACCCCCCCACCCATTCCCAGAAATGGTGATGTCCTTTTAGGAGATCCCCCTTCATCTGTTTGCTCCCTCCACGTGATACAAACCACCCAACAGGTCCTTTGAAAAGGAATTGCATGAATAAAATCCACTTTATCACCAGATCTTTGAGTGTTTATGACCTTTCATTGGTCCTTCATGATACTTATGGGAGAGAAGTGGCCAATTCAGCCAGATAACATTCCTCTACCACTCTGCTTCTCTTTCTTCGGAAGTCTTCCCATTGGGACTGCTCTTGGGGTAAGGTTCAACTCCTTTCCCATAGAGCGGGTATCTTTCATGAGCAGGCAAAGCCATCTCTTCCTTGCAGAAGAATTCACTCTAACGGCAGTCTCAAACGCTTCCAACCCAATCAACTCTCATTCTGTGCTTTGTAGGTCACTGCAATTTCCTATGAACCTAAGGGGAGATTTTCTTGGGAAAAAATTTGTTTTTCTGTAAGCTAACCAGCTGTTGATTTTCCCCAAGGAAAGTCAAATTATCCTTGATCATCATATCAGCAGATGTACAATAAAGCCAATCCATCACATAAGAAAAACCTGAACCAATTTCCTGCATTTTCTGGGCTGTGGATGTGAAAAAATGAAACCCAGATTCTTTTTCTTCTAGCTGCAAAATGTCCAGCATGAAATCAAACGATGACACCCAAGACCTTGGAGGACATCAGGGATTTGGTGTATATAGTTTACTTGGGAGAGGAAGCTGTTGGCCGAAATTAGAGTGTTTCAGGGACCAGATTAAATTGTAACCACGTTCCAGGGAGCTTGCCAGGGAGCCTAATGGGCTGATCTCATTCACCTTGATGTAAATCCAGCGTAGCTCCACAAAAGCCAACAGCACTACTCCTGGCTCGGTGCGGAGGCACCGCTGAGATCACAAATTGTGCATTTCTAATGAAGACAAAGTTAAGGGAACATGTGGAAAGTGAGGGTGTAGCAACGTCTCTGGTCACAGGCTTTGAGTCCCAGAGGAAACAAAGCTGGCCTGAGTACTGAGGTTTTCAGAGATGTTCTTCTTCCATTAACTTTCGAAGTAAATTTGGAGTATTGATGACACTGTGCCTGTGTTTGAAAGTTAGAACCCAATAGGAGCTGTTGCAGACCTGCATTGTTTGTGGCACTTTCCTTCAGTGAGGTGCAAAGGATCTTCTCAGGAGCACTGTCTGGGTACCCTGAGGCAGCTGGAGAGCATCATGGGGACTGTGCTTCAGGAGGATGCTGAGAGCACATGGGAATTGACTGCTTAGCACTCAACAAGACGAGCCTCAGCCACACGATCCTCCTCCATCAAGCAAATCCCATATTACCTCCTATTATAAGGGCCCATGACCATGATATACACCCATTTATGATAACCCAGATCAGTTGCTGGGTTTCAGGGATCCGCAGAATTTCAGCTGAGCCCTTGGGGATGTTCTTCTCCCCTTGCTGAACCTTTCCCCTGGCTCTCTGAGATTGTCCCAATCAGGTCTCCTCTCTACCTGCCCTCTCTCACCTGCCTACCTGCCCCTCAATACACCAAGGCACTGATTTATCTTCTTTGTCCTGTCCAAGTCCAAAGAGAAAGGCAGAATTAAGATAGGAACAGTGTAATGAACTCCATCAATGGTTACTCATTTTCCAAAAATTTAGCTGAGCGTGTTTAAAAAAAAAATAAATAAATAAAAATGCTGTGAGAAATCTGGACAGGCTCCTTCCTTGGATGCACAGAAAAAATTCACTGTGAGGTCCCCAAGGACACTGTCTCCCTGGTTTTTTAAATCTCATGCAAGAGAGGATAAATCGAGAGCCCCTTCCCCCTCCTCCCCTGACATTTCATTTGTGATTAAGGCACTATTCATCGCCCCTCGTCTTCCAAACCCTTTACTATTTATGGACCTGCTGTTTTTCCAGCGGTTGACACTAGCGTGCATTCAGCTCCGCTCTTCTTTCCCCATCCCATCCTGGTCCCCCCCCCCCCCCTCCTCTCCATAAAGGCATTTCTCCATTTCAGTAGAGAAACCACTAGTGACTGGAGTGTCTGTGACCTCTGGGCTGTCAAACTCCCACTAACTAAATAAAAGCAGCCCAAGAGGGAGAGAGTTAGCATAAATCACTTCCCGTGACAGAGACCACCTGGTATACACTCTCTGCATGGAGGTACCCAGTCTATTCC